GTCCTGGAAAACAGTTCAGACACTACACTCAACCAGTGCTTCACACTGCACCAGGGGCTGTCATCAAGAGATCCATGATGATCAAGGTTTCCTTGTAAGTCTGACCCCAATGGTGGGCATTGGTCATAGAGAAGTCCAGTGTTATGGCTTTGTAAAGACAACAACCCAGGATCAGGCTTGGCAAGGCCTACTTACATTCCCACATTGGGGCAGAACAATGTTAAGGTAAGGTCAAATGTCAGTTATAATTCCCTCCATGAGATGGAAAAATGATGTAAGATTCTTGGATCAGGAGGTGGGAGACAGCAAGGGAATCCTGGATGAAGGAGGCTATGGAGAGAAAGACATAGACATCATCAGATCTGCCAAAGGACATGTCAGACAGGAGCGGCAGAGGACCCCACTGCATGATGGAGCCACCCTTATTTTCTGTCAGACCCTTCTTCAGTAGCCCAGAATGGAAGCCCCTTTCCAAAGCAGCCTCATACTTCACTACATTGATGTATGCCAGGAACCATCAGAGCAGGGTCTTTCCTCCTCATGGCTGGCAATAAACCCACGGTCACACTCTGCTCTGTTTGAGACATTTGTTCCTGGTCTCACTTTTCAAGACCCCTGTCCCATGAAAATCTCCTTTTCTCCTGACTCATTTCAGGTAAGCTCATCTGGACAGACTCTACACTCTCTCTACGGGTCCTCTCATTTCCTCTCCATCCTCTCCACTTCCTTTCCCCTCTTCCTCCCCCTTATCTCCATTCTCCCATCTCCCAGTGGATTTACAGTTCCTGCAGTTCTTCTGAAAGACAGTCAGAAAGCAGTTTGGAGGTGATGAATGCATCAAAGAAGAGGGAAGCCTGAGACCTGTGTGCCAGTCTGTCCTGTTGACAGAGGCAGCCCTTTTAGATGGTGTGGAACCCTGGTCCCACAGGAACCAGGACAGATGTAGACATTCAATGGGTCGATGCTACATGTGATTCTCAGGGATGTTCAGCAACAGTGCAGGGGCAGCAGTGAGGTGAAGGATGGGGAAGATGGCAGCTGAGACCCTAACCTGGAGGATGGATACTGGAACCTGTAGCCTAACATATCATCACACAGGACACAGATTTCCAGCCTGGATACTTCCTGTTGCACTAAACCACACCAAGACTCTAATTCAATTCACTTTCCCAAATAAAACCCAAAAGAATATGTAAAGTGTCTCTTTTAGTGAGACTTTAACAGACAAGACTTACTCAGCGTTGAGGAGGATGGGACTCCACTGACCAATAGTGCTGCATCTTTCTCTTGCTTCACCCCAGCTCTGTAGGAATGAACAGGATGTTATTTCCAAGACAACATCCTACTTGTGTGTCTTGACACATGCTAGGAACCAACAGAGCAGGCCCTCTCCTCCTCATTGCTGGCTCTTCCTAGCTCCCTCCCACTCTGCACTTCAGGGGAGGTTTGTTCCTGCTGTAGACTGTGCACGGCCCCTGTCACAGGTCAGCACACATCTCTTTCATGTTACTTTGTTGACAGGCAGTCCTCAGGACAGACTCTACTCCGTATTCTACACCACCTCTCATGTCCCCTATTCCTGTCTTGAAATTGTTCCCCAATTAGTCCTCTTTATCTCCTTTCACCCACCTCCATTTTCCAGAGGATTTACACAGGTCTTGCTGTTTTGTCCAAAAGGCAGTCACAGAGTAAGTTGGAGGGTTAAGTGACCAAGATGATGAGCAGCCTAGTTTGGTATGAAGTCCTTCCTGGTGGTAGAGGCTGCTGTTTTCCATGCAGTGTGAGTGGTCCTACAAGCACAACCAAAGCTAGGAAGGTAGAGTCATGTGGTCCATGTGACTTATGACCCCCAATTGTCCCACAACAGTTCTGAAGCTGGATTAAACTGAAAGAGATGCAAAATGGCAGCTCAGACCCAATAGCTGGAGGATGAATGCAGGCAGGAGCCTGTTGTCCTGGGTTGGAGGGAGCTGGCACTCTGGAGATGAGTTCTGGCTCACTTCTGTGGCAGTCACTCCTCACCAGGTCTGGAATTCTATTGGGCCATTTCAGTTTCCACACTTCAAAGGAGAAAGAAACATGAAAGCACCTCTATTAGTGACTTTGACAGATAATTTTCTGTGTTATATTTCCCTTCCTGATTCCTCCATTCTGAACCTTTAACCCCATTAGAAAAACTCTCCTCCCTTCCTTCCCACCCTGTCGTCCCCATTTTAGGCTATCTGCTTTTGCCTCAACCTGCTAGGACTTTACATGAACAGGAAGCTGTGAATTTGCCATCTAATGTACTACATATCAAATTCTTGTCCTTCTGAGGGGGTATAAGGATATTAAAATGGCATATTGAAAAGACAACATAGGAATTCATCTGTGTGGCCCAACCAACCGTTCTCCATATAGGTCTCCACTGTCCTCTCTTTCCTTGTAGCCCCTGATGCAAGGGTTTAGGGCTCACCTTGGGGTGGGCAGGCAGCAGCAGCAGCAGCAGCTGCACAGTGCTCTCAGTGCATGGGAAATTTGCTTCTTCACCAGCTTCCAGACCCTGAATGACCTGAATCCAGATGTTGTGGGTGCCACCTGGGGCTGGTCACTGGGAATGTCTGGCTCCTGGGATGAATCTTCTTCACAGAAGCCCAGGTTCAGAAATCCTGTGGGTGTTTCATCCAAGACTGA